TTATGATCGCTATCTATATCTGCTCCTGTATAGCTCCTGCAGTCGTTCACTTGATTTTTCAATCTTCGCCTAACAAGTATGTAATCTAACTGATATCTCCCTAAATTACCTGATATCTTCCACGATTAGCGTCTCCTAACGTGATGGTTCAATAAAGTATTCGCGACGGTAGAGTTATGTTTATCGCATAATTATGTCAGTCAATCTCCCTTATCATTTCTATTGCCTAATCCAATAGAATCTGCTATTGCACCGACTTTACCTGATTAACCGTTTTGATCTGTAATTATGTCTCCTCTATCCCAATAAAGCTTCTAATACATTTTGCGATTTGTATTTACAGTACGGCTCTGTCTGATCTATGAGTTTAAACTTTCTGGCTGAGAGTAAAAATAACAGTATTATCATCATTATCATAATTATTAATCCGGTACGTGTGCTGTACCTAAATGAGTATGTGTAGTGTATTATATGATGAACCTAAATATGTTAAAGAAGTACTTTTATACAACTCTTTCAGTATGTTCCTATATTGGAGAGGGAAGGATGGGGACAAGAAATTGCGGAAACATATGTGTATTTTTGTTTTCAGGGAAATATTTTGAGACACAAATTAGAAATGAAGAAGTATTAGAAAAAATAGGAAAACAGAGGAGTCTATGGAAGTCAATAAGAAATAGGCGAGATAGGTTAGTATTAGGATACCTTCTCAGGCATGAAGGTCTAGACAGAGGCATATTAGAGTTAGAAACAAGAGTTAAGAGTAGAGGTAGACCTAGATTAGATTACTATTCACTATTAAATATATGGGTTGTGCTAGTTTTAGGGAAATGTGAAGATTAGCTCAGGATAGGAAAGAGTGGAGGTGCGTGTCCAACCAGTCTTAGGACTTACGACTTTATGATGATGATGATGACAAAGGAGCTAGTGGTGGTACGCCATCAGGCGGATTTATACAGGTAGATGATAAAAAGCGAATGAGGATGTTACGCTATAAGTCTACAAAATAATTGTACATTAAAAAGCACTGCAGGCAGGAGGATGCTTTTATTATTTTTTTTAATTTTATTAATTGTACTGCTAGTTTTGCTTGTTTATATTATCAAGGTATTACATTTTCACATCAATACTGGTGCGTCTCTATATTTAACTATTTCATAAAATAAAGAATCATAATAAATGCCGTCAACAGTACTTTTAGTAATTTAGTTGGTCTTCGGTTTTCTTCACTTTAAACAGGTAATACTTCGTCCGGTTACAAATATTCTACAGAAAATCTTTCACTTCCACCTGACGCTTAGGCCTTGCACTAGTGTAGTTCAAGGGGACTTCCTGCTCAACAGCATTAGTTGACGGTGGGATTGAAACACGATAGAGCGGCATGATCTAGTGTTCTAAAATCAATTCTACTTCTTTAATCTTCTAATGTCTTCTTCTCGTTCATTTCGTCTTTTGTCTTTCATTTCCTAATTAACACTATCCACCCATTACTCAAAATAGGCTGAAGACTGAAAAGGATCTACCGTCTTCTTACATACGAGGTCTGTTCAAAAAGTATCACGAATTTTGAATTTCCGTAGATTACGTATATCCGATTTTCGATTTTCTTGTGGCGTTATGTACTCATGTCCCTCATTTATATCGACAACTTCGGCAATGTTGAATGTTCAGTTAATTTTTGACAGCTGCTTTACTTGCACGTGTTTTAATTCGTCTTCGATTTTTGCTTATTCCAAAAAATGAATCAAAGAAGCTGTATCAAATTTTGTGTGAAAAACAAAATTAAGTGTACGGACGCATTCCAAATGTTGACTGTGGCATATGCTGAAGCTACCTTGGACCGAAGCAATGTTTATCGGTGGTACATAATGTTCTTAGAAGGCCGAAAAGATGTGGAAGACGAAGAGCATGCTGGATGCCCGAGCACGACAACAACAGACGAATGTATTGATAAAATGAAGAAAATAGTATTACCCAATCGTCGAATCACCGTTTGAAAAAACCTAAACATATGGATTGACTCCTGCCATTCGATTTTTACCAGTGATTTGGGCATGAGACCGGTCGCTACGAAATTCGTACCAAAATTATTCAATTTCGACCAAAAACAGCATCACATTAATATTGCTAAGGAGCTGTTGGACTCTGTCCGCGACGACCCAAATTTGCTCCAAAGGGTCATAATTGGTGACGAATCATGGGTATATGGTTATGAGGTGGAAATCAAAGCTCAATCATCCCAATAGAAGCTGCCGCACGAGCTAAGACCGAAGAAAGCGCGCTAAGTTAGGTCGGTTTTGCTTATATTTTTCTTCAATTGCAGAAGCGGGGTGCATCATGAGTTCTTGTCACAGGGTAGAACGGTCAATAAGAAATATTACCTGTAAGTTATGCGCAATTTGCGCGAAGTAATCCGACGGAAACGCCCGGATTTGTGGCTTTTGCTCCATGATAACACCCCTGCTCACACATCGTCTTCCCCAGATTTTTTCTTGTTCCCGAAACTGAAGAGGCCTATGAAAAGTGACGCTAAATAGATATACACGGCATCGAAGGAGGAGCTGAACAAGATCACAAGAAATGATTTTTTGAAGTGCTTGAGGATTGGAAAAAGCGTTGGCACAAGTGTATAATATCTAGTGGGGATTACTTTGAAGGGGACAAAANATACTCGATGAAGAAATGTAGTAATAAACATTGTCTTATTATTTTTTGGTATTAATAGCCCCTGTATAACTGTAGATAAATTAATTCAAAAACTAAATTACTTTCTCCTCATCATCATAACTTCGTCATTAGTCCTAACACTGATTGGACACGCACCTCCCATAGTCTGGACTCTTTCTGGATTGTTTTCAACTCTTGGCGCTTTGTGTTACGCTGAACTCGGTACTTCCATTATTAAAAAAAAAACACAAAATTCGCGATATACCTCGTACATTACAGTATGTGCAGAGTGGGGTAATCCGTAAGTATATGTTTCATTTTTCTTAGGGGGATGATAGTAGCTGAATGCTGAATTCATATTCAGGATAGCATCTTTTTTTTATGTTTTCGTGGAAGAGAGGAAAATGTCGGATTCCCGAGGAGGAAGTCCTCGGACCTACCGACTAAAACCCCTCTACCCCAGGCCGTTCTAAGACCAACTAGGGTCCTCTTCAGCCGATAGTATCTACATTTTATAAGTTAATGCATAATTTGTGTATATTTTCTAAACTTCTTTACTTTTCGTTTCTACTACATATTTCTAAATATTTTTGACTTCGCTCTACTGTCGGTATTTTCATCTACAATATTCTTTGTATTGGCTCTTTATTAACAAAATTCTGTCCTATAAATTCGCTAAAATACAGATCTAAAATCCGTTTTGTTCAGCCCGATTCCGTATTTTCTCAGGATATCAGAAAAGCTTCTTAGTTTTTTTTCATATTTTCTTGTATTCCTGTGCGAATTTTAAGTTTCTCATTTTTGTCTTCTTTTTTGCTTATCAACATCTTTAGTCAAACTTTCCAGTTCTTTCTATACACTTCTGCCTTTTCCATTAAAAAGTTTTTCATTTCTTTTTCCATCTTTTCTTTGTCATTTTCTTTTCTTCGGTTTGAATAATCGATATGTTATCCTTAACTATTATACATTCTTTTAATAACATATTGTCTTCTCTCTTCTGAATTTAACACCTTTTCTTCGTACTTTAAAGTTCTTTTCGAATATTTTATGGCTAATTTTTCTGTTTTTATTTCTTTTTGTAATAGGTATTTCGGATCTTTTTATATAATTTTAAAATTCATCTTACGTATCTGTCTTGAATGCTTCCCATTTTTTTTCTTTCTTCTCATCCTATGTTTCCGCTCCGTACAATAATATACTCTCTATTAATGTCTCGAATAGGAACATTCTTTTTTCAACTCTCTTTGAGGTTTGTTTCTCTCATTTCTCATATATTTTCCATTACCCTTATTGCTGTCTTCCTACGTTTTCTTATATGTCCATCTACTCCATTATTTTTTTGCAGTACGAATCTTAGGTAGTTAAACTCTGTAACTTCTTCGATTATTTTTCATATCCACTGGAAATTTAATTTCTTCTTTCGTTCTCCTGATTTTTTTTCCTTAAAATTTTTGACTTATCTGTATTTTATATCATTTCATTCAGTCGCTGATAATACTAAAGTCATCTGCATATTTAACTGACCAGATTTTTCTTCTACCGATTTTATAAATCCCCGTAAGTGCGGTGCTTAGTGGGCAACATTGTCTTATTCCCTTTTTCATTGCTATTTTTTTTTTATTTTTCTTCGTTGACTTCTATCTTAGAGTATGTTTCTTCGTACATTCCTCTCATCCTCACTCTTAATTTGTTGTCTATTTCTGGTTTTTCTAAGATTTTCCTATGTCTCTTTTGCGTTTATTAAACGCACCTCTTTCATCTCCGCAAAAAAAGAAGAGTATTTCGCTTTTATCATTCGTAATTTCTGCTTCATATGCTGTTTTAACCACGTAGATTACGTCAATAGTGCCTTTGTCATTTATGTATCCCATCTGGGTTTCTCCTAGTTCTTTTTTAAGTAGTGAGTTACTCTATTTCAGCGTAGATCTTGTAACCTGTACTTATGAGTGTAATTTTAAAAATATTATCATTTATTATATTCTTAATATTAATATGAAATAGAGCAAAATGTCATGGAAATCAACAAGAAATGGAATTGTCCAAAATGAAACTGCATCTGTGCATCTACTACATGCAAATGCTTTTCTTGATTTCAAGTATTCCCAATTGCTTATTTGTTATAATAACTTTATAGAATTAGTAAAGACCTTTCTTCAATTACCTAAGGCCAAGATAAAGATTTTCTTCATTTTCATTTTGTAACCTGAAGAAAACTACGCGGCGGACGGGATGACTGCAATACGTTTGAATTCAGCGGTAGAAATGTAGAAAGCTCAAACGAATTCATGCTTGACGTCGCGTCGTTGCCGGTAGGTTTTCTTCACGCATTTCTCTTTCATTTCCATTTTCCCCTTCTCGTTGGTAATTCGTAGCGATCGGATCGACCAAAGCTGCTTGCTGTATCTCTGTCCGATGTTCACACAATCTCGTTCCGGCAACGCAAGCGCTATGGTTTTCAGCAACATGTGCTAAATACGCCGGTACTGGTTTGTTGATTTCAATTTAACACGTGTAGTAGAGCCGTTGGAAACCGTTTCATTTTTACGCAGTGTGTGTATGAACAACATGTGGTTAGTGCTATTCATTATGTAGTGAACTATTCGGGTTTTCTTATTCTGCGAAGCACTAGTTGAAATAAGCGATGAGTAATTCTATAGAGCTCGTGAACGGTGGTAACAATGTCGTTGAACAGCAACCGACCGAGGGTGGTAAAGTAGAGCTGAAACGGAAAATCACCCTTCTGAACGGAGTCGGTTTGATAGTCGGAACAATAATAGGGAGCGGAATTTTCGTTTCTCCCGCGGGTGTTTATCAGAGTACGGAATCGGTGGGTGTTTCGATCATAGTCTGGACTCTTTCTGGATTGTTTTCAACTCTTGGCGCTTTGTGTTACGCTGAACTCGGTACTTCCATAACCAGATCTGGAGGTGATTACGCGTACATCTATTTGGCTTTTGGACCACTGGCTGCTTTCGTTAGATTGTGGGTCGCCATTCTCATTATTAGACCAACCACTCAAGCAATTATCGCACTCACGTTTGCCCAATATGCAGTCAAGCCGTTTTTCCCCGATTGCGAACCACCACAAAATTCCGTCAGACTTCTTGCTGCCGTTTGCTTATGTACGTAGGTATTAGTACTGCCACTTTCTCTTATCAAATACCTCTTTTATACTTTTAGTGCAAATTTAGATCACTTTTTATAAAAAATTACAATATTTAAATGAAACGGATTCCAATAACACATTCCTCATAACATTATTATAAAAATCTTTTTTTTTGTTGCTGAATGAACACGCATCAAATTAAAATAAGATAAAAGTAACACTAAAATTACCTGTGAACCCTCTGATAATTACAAAAACTTGCCAAAGTCTTAGTGAAGACAAAAACAGAGGTTTCAATTGTTAGATTTTCCGGTTCGCCAAAAAAAAATTAGTGTTGCAAGTTGAACGTGGCTGAATCTGAATTTCAATTCATGAAACCTATTTTTTTGATAATGCTGTAAAATTTTATTTCCGTATTTGGCTATTTGTCGTAGTTCTCTAAGAAAATAATTAAATACTTCACAATAGATACATATGTAGGTGCCGATTGCAGTAATTATAATCGTACTACAAAGTTTTACAAGCTTTTAATAACCCAGCAGTATTATACCAGTACAATAAGAATTTAAGTTTGAGATTCTTATTGGTATAAATCAATGTTTAGCAGGATTCTCTTGTTTGTCCAATTAGAACCCTCTTATTTACTTTTCAGCACTCTCTGTTTACACTAGGGAAATATTGAAATGCAGATAGGTAGGAATGTTACAGAAAATGCGCTTTATGTAGATTGTAGATGTCTGTGTTACAGTGGGAATACTTATATGCATAGATTTCTTCAAGCATTAGTGAGCCCCCGAGTAAAGAAACTTTCGACAATGATTGCATCATGCTGAAATGAACGCATACTTACGCAAGTGAAGATATGTTCGTGTTTTAGGTAAAAATAGCATCTTTACGCCAACACCCGAAAACCATTTTTATTACAATTTATATACAAAAATAGCTAACCGGTGTCTGGTTTTGATAAGAGTAGACAAATAGGGTTTTCTCACTCATTTCCTGTAGCAGACCACTATTTTTAATTTTATTTGTATCATTTCTCACTTCCAACGAATGAATGTTTAACATTAATTATTTATTTATGTACCATTCTTAATTTATTATTTGGACTGGACAACAGAATTGTTAATTGCAATCTTACGTGATAAGAAACGGTAAAAAAGAGACAAGCAGCTCTTTTGCAAATGATAGTTTATCGAACAGAAAGTTTCCTTCCATATAAGTATTCGTTCAGTACATATACATACGAGGTATGTTCAAAAAGTATCGCGAATTTTGTGTTTTTTCAAAAATTATTCATGAATATCTATTTTGTCTCCTTCAAAGTAATCCCTACCAGACATTATACACTTGTGCCCACGTTTTTTTCAATCCTCGAAATCATTTCATCTTATTGAGCTCCTTCTTCGATACCGCCTTTATCTCCTCAATCGTAGCATAGCGTAGTTTTTTCATGGACTTCCTCAGTTTCGGGAACAAAAAAGTCGCAAGGGGCCAGATCTGGGGAATATGGTGGCTGCGGCATTATTAGTGTGTTACTTTTGACCTAAAATTCGCGCACAAGCAACGATGTGTGAACGAGGGCGTTATCACAGTGCAAAAGACAATTTTTGTTCTTACACAAATCCAAACGTTTTTGGTGGATTTCTTCGCGCAAATTGCGCATAACTTGCAAGTAATATTCTTGATTGACCGTTCTAACCTGTGGCAAGAACTCATGATGCATCACGTCCCTGCAAACGAAGAAAACTGTAAGCAAAATCTTCACATTCGATCTAACTTGGTGCGCTTTTTTCGGTCTTAGCTCGTGCGGTAGCTTCATGATGATTGAGCTTTAGTTTCCATGCCATAACCATAAACCCATGATTCGTCACTAGTTAACACCCTCTGGAGCAAATTTGGGTCGTCGCAGACACAGTCCAACAGCTCCTTAGCAATGTCAATGCGAAGCTGTTTTTGGTCGAAATTGAGCAATTTTGGTACGAATGCCCAAATGATTGGTAAAAATCGAATGGCAGGAGTCAATCGATATGTTTAGGTCCTCAGCAATTTCTCAATGGTGATTCGCCGATACTATTTTTTTCAATTGATTAATGTGTTCATCTGTTGTCGAAGTACTCGGGCGTCCGGCACGTTCTCGTCGTTTAAATCTTCTTGGCTCTCTGAGAACATTTTGTACCACCGATAAACGTTGCTACGGTCGAAGGTAGCATCAGCATATGCCACAGTTAATATTCGGAATGCGTCCGTGCACTTAATTTTGTTTTTCACATAAAATTTGATAAGATCCTTTGTTCTATTTTGTGGAATAGGCAAAAATCGTAGACAGACCAAAACACGTATAAGCAAAGCAGGCATGAGTACCAACATCACGCCACAAAAAAATCGAAAATCGAAAGAACGTAACCCGCGGAAATTCAAAATTCGCGATACTTTTTGAGCCGACCTCGTACATATATGAAGGTGTACGTATACATATAGACATTTACTTTTCATGACTCAGCTTTTTATTTTTAATTCTCTGATTTAGAAAAATACTATCGTGGTTTACTTCAGACAGGATTTCTTCAAAAATCGAAATTGAGAAAGTAGAGATAGATATTACTCCTATTTTTTTTTTTAACATTTATTGAAATTTACCTATTGGTTATCATTGCTTTTTAAAAATTTTTTGTATTTATTTTAATTCATATTATAGATTGCGAATGATTTCTATCATCAAGTACAAGTCAAACCAATTTTGGAATTTTCTATCATCATTAGGAAAAACTAATGATCAGTTTATACAATACATTTCCTTTACGATTTTATAAAATTTTCCATATAAATAGTAAATAAATTAGAAACGTTCATTTTAGGAAACTGATAGAAATCGATGCGGAATTAAATGCTATATATTATTTACGGAAAAATAAAATTTACGACCTGAGTCTTGCCTGTTATGTAACTGTTATCGTAATTTGTTAGAGGTTCAGTAAAGCCGTTATTCGTTATGTAGGTAGGTAACTTTTCAAATTGTGCAATGAAGCATTAAGTAAGCAAATTGCCTTTTTAATTGTTAAAGGAACTATTGACCTTGAAAGAAGCTAAGAGGAGGTCTTACTTTTGATGAACTTGACTTCTACTAAAAAAAAAATAGATAGTAATAACTTTGGAATGGAAATAGGTTAGGTTGTTTCCATACAAAAAAAGTAAAATAAACTTTTCATGTTTAGGAGAGGTATGGGAAATAAAAGGGACCTGTAGTAGAAACATACATTTTCGTCTAGTGCATCGTTTCCTAACCTTTTGAAAAGTTGTGTCCCCCAGAATATGACAAAAATAAAATCAACGATCTTCATCGTAATAATTGTTAATTAATAATCAATAAATAATTGGAGCATAATTATGTATTTACTGATCTGATGAAGTCACAGTGAGGCGAAATAAAATTATTATTGATAATACTCGATGAAGAAATGTAGTAATAAACATTGTCTTATTATTTTTTGGTATTAATAGCCCCTGTATAACTGTAGATAAATTAATTCAAAAACTAAATTACTTTCTCCTCATCATCATAACTTCGTCATTAGTCCTAACACTGATTGGACACGCACCTCCACTCCTTCCTATCCTGAACTAATTTTCGTATTTCCTTAAAACTAGAACATTCCACATCCTTAAATATTTGCGAACACTAATCTAATCTAGGTCTACCTCTACTCCTCTTAACTTCTGTCTCTGCGTCTAATATGTCTCTGACTATACCTTCATGTCTGAGAAGGTGTTCTAACATGNAGCTAATTTTCGTATTTCCTTAAAACTAGAACATTCCACATCCTTAAATATTTGCGAACACTAATCTAATCTAGGTCTACCTCTACTCCTCTTAACTTCTGTCTCTGCGTCTAATATGTCTCTGACTATACCTTCATGTCTGAGAAGGTGTTCTAACAACTTATCTCGTCTATTTTTTATTCCTTCCTTAGAGTCCTCTGCTCTCCTGTTCTTTCTAATATCTCTTCATTTCTAACCTTTTCTAACCACGGTATCCTCATCATTCGCCTGTAACACCACATTTCGAAGGCTTCTAATCTCTTCCTTTGCGCCGCGGCCACCACCCATGTTTCGCACCCGTAAAGCGCCGCGCTCCAAACATACAGCTTTAACAATTGTTTTCGAATTTCTAAATTAATCGTTCGCGAGTATAGAAGTTACTTCTTTTTATTAAAAGCGACTCCACCCTGCGCTATCCTCTGCTTTATATCCCTACTACTCCTTTCGTCCTGACTTGCCTTACTTCCTAGATACCTAAAATGAGCCACTTCTATATTTTCGTCTCTTATCTTTACATTCGCTCTTTGCCTTCTTTTTCTTCTCTTGCATACCAGTATTTTGGTTTCACTTTTATTTATTTTCATACAAAACAATTTTGTTAATACCGTTTCCATTTTATTTAAAACTACCTCTAACTCCTCCTCGCGAGATGCTAATACTGCTATATTTCTACTTTCTCCTAAATTTAGTAACTTTGTTTGAAGCAATAAATCATTTTACAATTAGATACGTGTTGGAGTTCATTTTGATTTTGCATAAGTGATTGTAGTTTTTTTTAAACCTGCAGGTTTAGCTTTAGTGACAAATACATAGTAATATAATTAACAAAAAAATTGACCTTGAACTTTTTTAGTATAACTGTTGTGTATTATGTAATTTAAACTACAGGACTGAGATCCAAGTCTCCAATTGTGCTGATAATTCGGAAATCAAGGGACGTGTAAAAATGTTAAAAATATAAATTTTTTTGTGGCTATTTCGCGAAGACCTTCATATTAATCTTGAGAATGTCCTTCAGATCATTTTGCGATCACTGACTTTAATGTAGAGATGGAAATTAATAACAGTCAGTCTTGTTCTTTTTTTAATATTTTTATTGTTCCTCAACTTCTTTACTTATCTTAACAA